GGTGGTGGCAACTCACAGAAAGAGATGGCAATGTTCGTCACAGCGAGGAATGCACCGGTGAAACCGAGCTGACGGGTGATGTCAATGCTTCCGGAACCGATAGGACGCTCGGCCGCAACATCACCCAAGGTGATCAACATGGCCAGGGTGATTGAAATGCAAGCTATTTTTGTCAGTCAGTATTCGTTCTTGCGCAGCATCATTTCAATGCGGGGTGGGGAAAACTAACAGGCCATAGACATCCAACTCGTGTACTTGAGCGTGCGGGGGAAGTTGAGCACGGCGAAAACGGCCAGACCAACAACGGCCCAGACAATGGTGCAAGTTGACGAGTTGGTAAGGGTGTTCATGCAGATGGTCCAGGTCAACAAGTGGCTACCCATGACGAAAACCTGGAAAATGACCTGCGCCCAGCCGAAAACCTCCTGGAACACACGGCCCATGCCAATGGACTTGCCCATGACCTCGACGGCGTCACCGAAGTTCTGCACGAAAGGATACTCCTTACGGAACTCGGCCAAAACCACACCAGAATACGTTGACAGGAAACTCATGATGAGGATGAGGATGATACCAGGGACGAGGCCAACAGTGGCCAGGACAGAGGGCAAAGAGAGAATACCCAGGGAGACGGTTTCGGCGATCAAGACGATACCACCTTGCCTAAGGTCAAAAAATAAGCACATGTTCGTTGCGATGGGGCCTCGATCGGAATTCAAACATACCACCAGGAAAGGGTCTTGTAATCGATGAGTTCACCATCCTCTCCTCCCAGCACACTGTTGTCCTCCGCAGGGGGCGCATACGCCGGCGCGGCGTCGGTGTTGCTGGCATCCATCTTGGCCTTCTGAGACTCCGCCATTTCGGGGTTGTTGCTGACGTCTGTTGCGTTGCCCATGATTGCTGTGTTGGGCTTTTTAAGAAGGGCTCACTGGTGGTGAATATGACGGTAAGGTTTCGAGTTTTGTCGGCCGTCCGGGTCACACCTGTTCCCAGTCACAAGGAGAATTTGTGAGCTTATCACAACAGAACAAAGTCTGATTGATGGGTTGGGAAAAAAGGGAAAAAGGTGGTTAGGAAGATGAACCACGGACGTCTGGAGAAACCGGAAGGAAAACCATTTAGCTGGAAACCTATGACTCCCACCGAAGGGACCAGATTTCTTGATATAATCCACCACACTCGCCGTGATCGGCCTCTCTAGCTTAAAAAGCTGCGAGGCGAATTGTCATACGAGGCATCTGCCGAGGCGATCTCGGCGCGTCCGTTCCACGTTGTCACACGCGGGCATGGCACGGACGGGGGTTCGGGAACGCGAACGGTCAACTGCCAACACAAACGGCCCTTTGGTCCCCTTTGCATGGAACTGACTCGGTCCCGCCCTGAGGCCCACTCGGCGTGGCGATTTGGAGACCTAGACCCTCTTCTAGAAGACGAGAACTGGAGCCTCATCCACTACCACGGAAGCCCTCCGTAAATCATGGTCTTTTTCAGACAGATAGTGAGACATTGACTAAAATTGTCAAGCTGTCAGTTATACAAGGAGACCTACTGATTCGAAAAAGACCGTAATCAACAGCTTTCCATGTCATGTCCTTAAACCCGGGGTTGTCCCTTTGTTTGAACCAGCTGACATGAGTTGACTTTTTTCTTCCCCAAATTGCCCCCCGAAAAAAGTTAATGGTCTGATCCCAACATGTGAAAGCAACAAAGAAAACATGTCAAATGCGCCTCGTAAAAGTTTTCAGGCGCGCAATACAATTGCAGATCCACAGGTTGCCTAAAAGTTACGTTATGAGTCCCACTTGGCATTGACTTTACTAATAAACATGTCCCAGTTGGTGGTGGAGGCTCAACATAAGTTCCCGCTGCTCCTACAAAATTTTCGGCCCTTTTTCCCCGCGTAGTTCCCGCTCCACCGAGATGCGCTCCCGACGCACATTCGGGCAATGCTGCCCAGTTCAGATTTGAGCATTGCCGTTGTCTAATGCCTACGACGCTGGGCCTTTACTATGTAGTTCTCCTTCGTCCGCCCTTCTAGATCTTCGCACGCCATCATTTTAGATGTTGGGGCGAACGATTGGGGTGCAGAATGGAGGCGGGGATGTACCAAGGAAACGTTCCATTCCCCCGTATTCGTGCACGCATCCTTATGCAGTATCGACACGTGTATGTAGGGAACGCACGATTTCTCACAGCATATCCCATTCTTTTCATAAGCCGCTGTCCGACTTGCCCCGGATGGACATCCGGATCTCATCCGATCCCCGCAAATCCTAACTGCGATGAGTGAGCGAGCGGGCTCTGGTAGGATGGGATACCCCAAAGTTGCTGAGACCTGCTTGGGCCATGCGTCGCCCTCTTTCTCCTAGACGGGCAGGTGAGAAATTCTCGCTTTTATGGAGGTTGAAGGAAAAAGGGGGTGAGCGGGCCCAATTTGTTGGGGGTCATGCCATTCTAAATTACACTCAATACCTCTTGTCATCGGATATTCCATGTGGCAGGTTTCTGGGGATTTTGACGTCTTTCAAGACAGAGTGCCGAGTTTACAACTCCATGCTTATACAACCCCAGATTCTACCTTCTGATCTATCACGGCGATGGCACAAGAAGAAGTCTTGTGATGCTTTTAGCGCCCGCCATCTTCAACGCTAACGTCGATCACAATCTGCGTCTATTAGTAGACCTATTCCTACTTAAGAGCTAGCTATAATACCCAAAATTCGTTTTGAGGTTTCTAACTCATAGTAAATTTTAGTTAACATCGCTTTTCTCTCTAGTCTTGGAAAGCCCACGAATTCAAATACGATTCATGATTCTGGCACCCATTGTCACAGGCAAAAGAATTGCATGCTTTGCTCGCCATCCGCTTTCCTTTCTCTATATATTGCTTGATCTCTTTTTTTCATGACAAATAAAGCTAGTGTAGCCGCATGAATCTGTTGCCTCTTGGAATGACCCCAAAAATATTTGGCATTGATCTAGTAGCAGGGAATCAACATTGTTAAACCCTGGTCTTGGGCGATGCCCTGTTTCGATTTCTGCTGAGAACCATCTTTGTATTCGAGTCTAAAGGTAGAGGTTAAGACCTCATCCCTCCAATCCCCTTCCGCCAATTCGTCTCCAAAAAGCCTTAATGTGCGAATCCTCACAGCATAGTCACCGGCATCTGCCCAGGACCCGTTGGGGAGACGTCCATCCCAGATCAAATGTACTGTCTCGACCCTGCCCCATCCTCCTTTCCGGCTCCCAACCTCGCGAGGAAACACTTCTGCTGGTGTGCCCCCTCCTGATGGTAAAAGCTCTGCTTGGATACCCCTTGTATCCATGTTCAGCTGCACCTGCACCACGGGAAGTTGCTCGTTGTTAAAACGATGTTCATCAGGGTTCTGATTGTCAAACGGCGGCTGATTTTTGGACAGCGTAAAGGTTTGGCCTTCATCCAATCTTTTGAGCCGTCTATTCCAGAAGCGTGCCATCTCAACCTCCCCCCTGGTGGCGGAGGAGAGGTAGGTGTAGTTCTTGTTAAGCGTCGGGATGTCTTTAATGTTGCAAGCAATGCCTCCGTAGGGAATTGACAAGTCGTGACTTTCCCCTGCGAAGGACGAAGTAAGCTTAACCCAGCCACCAAACAGAGGGCAAAGGTGCTTCATAGGCTCCAGAACCGTTGTATTAACGGACACGTCGACGGTTGCTTCTTCGCCAGGAGCGAGAGTTACCCTGGTTACAGATGTAAAGACTGAGACTTGTTCTTCCGGCGGCAGCGTCTTCAAAAATTCAGGACTAGCTTCTGGTGCCCTCACAGCCGCTGCAAACGGTACCGGCGCCTGCGTAATGCCGTCAAGACTGAGTACGCTCGCACCTGGAACGACAGACACGTTGTACTCAATGTGATTACCGCCTGAGTTGTGTAATCTGAACCTCAAAACCCTCTTCCCGTATTCGGTGTCGTTGAACGCAAGTTTTGTAACATCCGTCGTCACGCCAGTTTGTAAGACCACAAAAGCACCCCAAGCATCAACTAGCCCGGACCCCTGCTGCCAAGGACTAGAGAGAAAGCCAAAGGTCTTGTTTGTCCCGTCGTTGAACTCAACGGGGCGTGCCGTGTTTGATAACGTGTCCGCTATATGCTTGGTAGGAACTGCAGGAAAGGCCTCCTTCAACAGAGCAATCACGCCGACGAGATATGGGACGGCCATACTAGCCCCGCTCTGAATCCCCCATCCCCCGTTCCGACGAGGAAAGGTGCTCAAGATCCCACCGCCCGGGGCGAGAACGCTAGTTATAAACCGACCCTCGCCACTAGGTCCCCAAGACGTAAAGACGCTAACCTTAGCGGCTGTCTTGGAGTTAGGGCTAGATTTGAAAACGGGAGGCCTGGTGAAATTGCTGTCCATTTCAAGCTCGACCTTGTGACCGGATGAGATCAGCGCGAGCAACTCCTCGCCAACCTCAAGGGTGAGAGATGCCGCGCCGTGAATCTCCAAGCCGTCATCCAGTCTCACCTCGAGGTCAAAGGCTGGGCCGGGGACATTGTTATAGATCAGGGCATATTTCACGCCTGCCCTTACCAAGTTCTCCATTTTGGTTTTAAGGGTACACCCTCCCCGGCGCAAAAGCACTGCCGCATCCTTGAGACCCTGACCTTTGTCTTTGATCTCACTGCATCCACTGGCCTCTGCGGTAAAATCATCGTCGAGGCTCAATAGACTTATGCGCGAAGGAAACTCACTCCTGCGGTGCGCTGTCCACGTTTCTGGGTTGTATGTCAGGTTCTTGGTCGGAATACCATCAACGTAGAGTGTCGCCGGCCGGTAGACGGAATACAAATAAGGAGCATCCACGCTCCCGACTGCAAACATATCATCACCACCACCCTCGGGTGCGGCGGCTCCGAATGTTCCAGCATGTCCATTGTTGCCACTGACAACGACGATGAATGTCTTCCCCTCGCGATTGATCCGGGCTACAAGGTTTGAGAGAGGATCTGGATATCTGTCTTAGCACGGTCCGAAGGAACAGCCTGATAAGCCATTTTGGGGAACAAACATGCCGTCAGAAAATGGCTTGCTTCCACTACCCAAAGAAAGGTTGATTAGGTCGACCCCTCGTTCATAGGCACGTAAGACGGCACGCACGACAACGTCGCCTGTGCTCATACCATTACAATCGAACACCCTGTAATGCTCCACAGTCACACCGGGTGCGACGCCTCTAAACCCCGTCTTTCCGTCCACATCTTGAGCGAAGAGAATGCCAGCAGTGTGAGTGGCGTGGTTAGAGCAATCGCCGTATGGGTCATCATCTGGTTGCTCTTTGTTGGGAGGTTTAACCTGAAAAGACACGAATTAGCCCTATAAAATAGCCAACGCGTCGAAATTCACTTCAGGGAGGAGATTGTGTAAGACTCACATTGTCGCCGACGAAATCCCATCCGTATTGGACCTGATGCCCGTCTCCAAAGCCTTGGCCAAGCGCAGGGTGCAAGTAGTCTACCCCGCCGTCAATTATCGCGACTCTCACGCCTTTGCCCGTCAAATTTCTCTCATGGAGAAGGTTAACCCGGGTCATGATATGAACATCATTGAGGTGGTACTCTTCGTCAGCGGCTACCGTTTCGGCGGCATCATGCCCCGCATTATCGCCTTGAAAGGGAGGTTCTGACTGTTGGTCCAAACTGAGCTGGTGAAAGATTCCTGGCGCCCAGACGGACTTGGCCGATGTCACTTTGCATAAATCGGCATAACAGT